ATACACAGCAATCCAGTCTGATGAGGACAAGTCCCTGGCCACTGTCCCCTTCCCACTTTACTTGCATCCCTCCCAACCCCCATGCATTCTGATAATCTCAGTGGCCAGGGACAGTGGCCTGGGGCTCTGCTTGCTGTAGGCTGGCCATGAGTATTAAAGGAGCAAGAAAGAGGTAGGGGAGCCTAGACAGAGCTGTAAAATGAAGACAGCAGGGCAAGGGGGTAAGGGGCATACAGCCATGGAAGCCAATGACCAGAAAGGAAGGCCAAAGGGGTCTTGTGAAGACCCTCCAGAGAGAGAGGCTTTCTTCCTCCCATCTTTCTACATGTGTCATTGCAGATGGCCTTCCTCTGCCTGTCCTGGTGCCACCCAAGTAGCTAACTAGTAAGCAAAGAGCTTCCTGTTCAGATCCCACAGCCAATTGATAGAATTTCCAAGGCCCTGTGTGATTGGCCTGCATGAGTCAGGTGGTTACCTTGGACCAATCAGATGGGTCCTAGGTCTGAAGTTGCCACCTAAGTTCATACATGAGTAGCAGTATCTGATTTATGGCTCCAGCTCTTCCAGGATCTCTGGAGCAGGGCTGCTCACTGGACTCACTTTTTCCATCTGTAAGTTGGGGAGGCTGGGCTGGAAGAGCCCCAAGGTTCCTTCTAGCTCCTACATTTGAACCATCCCAGAGTTGCAGAACTGTCTGGGGTAGGGATGTTCCTCTAGTAGGTCCCCTCCTCCCCTCCTCTTTCAAGATCTCACACCCTCTAGAAGATCTCCCACTTCACCTTCCTGCAGCAGCCTGGAGACAGCAGATGGAAATGTTCTCTTTCTAGATTTTAAGGGGCCCACATGTCCAAGTTCATGGCACAGATTCACTGGCTATTTGTACCAATTCACTTAAAAATGATGCTCTTGTCACCCTGCCTGTGTTGACAGATCTTTTTCCTGTGCTTCTGGGATCAAACCTAGCACTTAACGCTTTACCATTGAGCAATACCTGCAGCCCTGTGATCCCTCATTACTGGAATAATAAGAATTGCAATGACTGTTTATTGACTGTTGCTCCATATTGCTATATGCCCGGACCAAGTGACAAGTGTTTCTTTTTCCCATACCTTATCTCAGAAAGTTACTTCTCATGGCAGCCTAGGGAAGTGGTACTGCTAATAGTTCCAGTTTGCTGATGGGGAAACTAAGGCCAAAGAGATTTCACAGCCTTTGTCCAAGATTTCCCAATACAAAGATTTAGATTCAAAGTTAGGGGGTTTGACTCTGAGTTTGTACTCTGAGCCACCAGAGTTGCCTGCTTGCAGGACACCTGGAAGCCAGGCAGCCCCTGCTTCCTAGGAAATCTGCTTATGCTGAGGCTCTAGACATGGGTACACACCTATACATTCCCAGGGGGTAAGAGCTGAGCTGGGCAAAGCCCCCAGCGGACCAGTGGTTCCTCCCAGTTCCCTGATAGAGTATAGTGCCCAAGATTGGAAATGCAGAGTCAGCATTCCTTTCTCTCCAATAGTCTATCCCTTCTAAGTGTGAGTGGCTCTTTGCCAGGCCCATTTAAAACCTGTCCTAAGTTATGCCGAAATCAAATGGGCATGAAACATAATCCAAGAAGGTCAGCTGCAGGACCCATGGCTTCTGTTTTCCCTTTCTAACTCTGTTTGCTGGATCTTGTTCCTAAGTCTTCAGGGAGCCTTCACCCTGGACCATGGGGTATGAATGGGTAAAATATCCTCATTTCCCTGAGGCAGAAGCTGGAGAACTGACCTCTGGTGGAATCATCCCTCTCCTCTGGGCATTAACTCCATGTGGGATGTGTTGCGCTAACTGGCTGTGTGCTTTCAAATGCTGTCCAAGCTGCCTTATGAGACTAACTGCTCTGAAATCAGAGTATCTATCCCTTCTTGTGGCCAGAACCTTACATCCCCATAAAACATTTGTTCTGGATTCAGAGGGCTGGCTCTAGCAGCTGTGTGTGTTTTAGAGAGAACTATAGCTGTGACACCCAGCAGGACCTTCTAGAGGCCAGAGCCACGCTGAACATCAAAGTGGAAGCTGGCTTCTCTGACCCTTTGTACAGGGGAGTTTGGTCTCCAGAGCTGTGGATTTGCAGTTGACTATGTCAATCAAGGTCATGCTGGAAGGCGTTCATCTCAGGCAGTTCAAATAAAGGCATGTCTATAAAGAGCCAACTTATGGAAGAGTAGTGTATTAGTCAGCTTTCTGTCACTGTAACAAAATACCTGAACATGAAATCAACTTATGGCTTAGTTTCAGAGGTCTCTGTCTATGGTTGCTTGGTCCCATTGCTTTGGGCCTGTAGAGAAAAGCATAGCAGTAGCATGTGGTTGAGGAAAGCTATTCACATTGTGGCCAAGAAGCAAAAAGTGGGGGGAGAGGAGGTCAGGCCAGGCACCAGTGGCTCACGCCTGTAATCCTAGCAACTTGGAAGACTGGGATCAGAGGATCACAGTTCAAAGCCAGCTTGGGCAGGAAAGTCTGTGAGACTCTTATCTCCAATTAACTACCAGAAAAACTGTGGCTCAAAATGGTAGAGCACTAGCCTTGGGTGAAAAAGCGCAGGGACAGTGCCTAGGCCCTGTGTCTAAGCCCCTGACCACCACCACAACAACTAGAGATCAAGTTCCCAATATTCTCTTCAAGGGCATGCCCCCAATGACATAACTTCCTCCCACTAGACCCCACCTTTTAAAGGCTCCACCACCTCCTAATAGCACCACAGACTGGGGAATCAAACTTCTGTTACATGGTCCTTTAAGAGACACTTAAGATCCACAGCAGGTAGACACAGTTGGAAGAAAACAAGGGATGCTAAAGCTCACAGAGGCTAGCAACAAAGGGAAGTTCTTCCTACGTATAGGGCTGAAGAGGAAAAGGGAAAAAATGGTATTTTGGAGCCTTTGGAAGCCAGAACCAGGGAGAAGACAGATTATGGACAGAGATGATAGGACAGGGAAGTTCTACTCCAGATTCTCTCTTCCCTCCTTCAGAACTCCCATCAGGACCTCTGTTGGCAGATCCCAACTGGAAGCTGCTAGCAAGAGAGTCTGTGATCATTAGCCCCTGAAGACATGGGGCTAGGTAGGACAGAACAGAGTACAGTAAGTCTAAGGGAATGACATGTAACCAACAGGGACTGCCCAACAGGGTCCCATTAACCCCCCTGGTGCTTTTTGACACCTCCCAGCCCAACCCCTGGAGGTATGGCTGTAACCACCTAGCACATATTTAGATATTAAAAACATAGCTCCCATCTTCTCAGCACTCATGTGCTGGGAAGTTTATACTTACGTGCTTATGTCCTCCTCACTTCAACCCTATGGGACAGTATAGAGAACTATAGAGAAGAGATTAAGTATCAGAGAGTTTAGGTTATTCATCCAAAGACCTACAACAGGGCTGGGATTCCAACAGATGGTCTGTGCATGTGTAACACCTTGGCACTTGTTGGCTCTGTCTCTTGCAGGCTTGGCTCTCTTTTTGGAGGAAAAGAACATCTGTTTTCCAGGCAGCTGAGTGGAGGGGGGGAGGGGGGTGCTGGGGGCGGGTGAAGGCAAGAGCAAGGGGAGGAAAAACTTGTTCAGGCACCCAAAGGTATTAGGGGCCCTGATGGGTTTGAGAAGTATGAATGCCTGCACACTACCAGGAAATGAAGTATGATAAGTGAGACAGGGCCAGTCCATGTTGGCCTATGTCCTGAGCAGAGGGCACTGGGGTGGCACGGATGGTGAGACACAGAGGGGACTCCTTCTGTCTGTCTCCTGTCTCCAGTAGGCAGAGTATGGGAAATGCACAGGCTTTGGTCTGTTCATTCAACCCCAAACCAGTTTCCAGTGGGGGAGAATTGGCAGATTCAGGAAGGATGTATATCACCTCTGTGGCTGTGTTCTCTGGAGGCCTTACCAGCCTGAAAGAATGATGCCAATACTTTGAGGAAGCTTGAGGTCTTGTGTTGCACTTGAATTCAAGTCCTGGCTGGGTGACTTTGGGCAAGTTACTTATCCTCTGTTTTCCAAGGCAGGATAATAGCTGTCACTGAGAAGGCACTTGTCACAGAGGTGGCAGATGCAGCCCATACAGCACAGAGCTTGGCACACAGCAGTCAATGATTGCTTCTATTTGTTTTTTTCCTTCTATGAGGAGTCTTGTGTACATTGCTTTTCCTTAGATGTATCCAGGGCTCACTAAATTATGGGTAAATTCACTCAACCAGTGACACAGTGTTAGGTGCTGAGGTGGATGGTACCAAGCTGAGAACAGACAGTCAGCAGATGAGCAGAGTCTTAGAATGTGAAAGACCCACTTGTTGTGTTCGTAACAGTTGCAAGAGGCCATGTCCTGTGCTAGGCAAGGCAAACCTAGAGCCTGAGGCCTCCCTGAAGCCTCAGGCCCCCATGCATGTCCTAGCAGTCACAGGAAAGGAGGTGTACTTCAAGCATTGTGTATAGCAGAGCTAGAGTTGACATGGCAGGGCCTGTCCCCATGAGGAAGTGGTCTTTAACAAGAGACCTTCAGTGAGAAAGAGGAAGGCATTACAGGCACTTTAGACCACAGCAAGTCATGGAGCATTTGAGCAGCCTGCAGGCCCTCTGATTGGAGCCCACAAATACTTATTAGCAACACCAGGCCAAGCTAGAAGCTCCATCTCCCACTCCTCTTGAAGCAGGTGCTTTGGGCAGCCTAGGGGCACTCAATACAGGAAGCAAAGCTACTAAGAAATGGGTTTGGGGACTGAGAGACCCCTCATGCAGAACTCTGGGATGAGCAGATCATCTTTGGAACTGGTGCTCTTACAGCCACCAAGAGGCCCTCAAGAGGGAAAATAGCTATTGCATTTTTTAATTCCTGGGAACCCTTTTAGAATGGAAATGATGGCGCTTGGAGTTCTGGCTGGCTGGTGGACATGGTTACTGGGCTTTTGGGGGAGTCATGGCTGATGAAGGCCAGTGCTCAGCCTTTTATTTGGTTTGTTTTCATTCCAGAACACCCCGGTGGGGACACCCATCTTCATCGTGAATGCCACAGACCCTGACCTGGGTGCAGGCGGCAGTGTCCTTTACTCCTTTCAGCCTCCCTCCCCGTTCTTTGCCATCGACAGTGCCCGGGGCATTGTCACTGTGATACGGGAGCTAGACTATGAGACCACGCAGGGCTACCAGCTCACGGTCAATGCTACGGTAAGTCCCCACACTTACACACATGTGGGATGCGGTGGCAGGCTAGATAAAAGCCAACTATCCACAAAGGCCAATAATGGCAGAGCAGAATCAATCAGGCATCTTCTGTTCAAGGTCAGGGCTTCCTACTGGGTCTCCCCACCCTGGCCCGTGTGCCTGGTGGTTCTTGAGGTCCCTGGTTGGGCAGTGTGGTCCCCTGCCTTGGTCATGGCTGTATGGTCATGGAGCCTGGGAGGCTGCCCTACTGCTACCACAGCCCCTTTACTTTGTTCTTCCAATTCCAGATTCTCTCTTCCCTTGGGCACACCCTCCCACCCCCATTTTGCTATGCTGAGGACCCTGGAGGACAATGAGGATAAAGTTGCTTCCCCACTCTCCCCTACCACCCCGCCCCAGGTCTGGGCTCTGCAGGGCTTTCTCCAGAAAGCAGGGGTGAGCACCAAGCTTCTTGTGTCATGGAGGTGCCCTGCATTGTACATATCACCCTAGACAAACCAAAGCAAGTGTATTCTAGGACAGTTGTGTTGCTCTTCTAATCCCAGACCAGACCATGTGCAAGCCCAAGGACTGTCAAGGTCATTCAGTCAAAGCTTCTGTCTTGTCAAAAGGAATATTCAGACTCTAGGATGGGCAAGAACTTATTGATAGCTATCCCCAGCAAGATGGAGACTGAGCTAATGTTAGGGACCCAGACCAAGACTGTTAAAGGCAGGTTTTTATGTAAAACAATCTGAGTTTGAGTCTTGCCTGTACCCTTATCAACTGTGTGACTCTGGAAAGCTGCTGACCATCTCTGAGTCTCTGTTAATTCATCTGAATGATGGACAAAATAACCACATGAGAACATGCTGCACCTCACACAGTGCCTGGTGGAGGAACTGAGTCCATCACTTTATGTTGTTGCTAGTCGTCACCCCCACAGTACCAGTTACTTAATTTATCATTATGGACTGTGCTTGTAGGGTCCTGTGCACAGGCTGCAGGGTTCCTTTCTCAGTGGGTTTTACAGGACTGAATTTCCAAGGTAACTCTGATGGTTTACTATTACCTAACTGGCCACAAGGGGTCCTTCTGCCTGTGGGACTCCTTCCTGGGGACCCCCAGATGTCACAGGCCCTGGAGCTCCCCTGTTGGGTTTAACTAGAAATGTCCCTTGATCAGCATTGCTTAGAGCAAGGGATGTGAGTTGCAGAGGAACCACCTCTGGGGCCAAAGGAGAGTCCCATCCCAGTCAGTTCCCTGCGTCCCTGGGTGAGCAGAACAGTGACCCTGGGGGAATGTGAGTGATGGAGCTAAAGACAGCACTGTCTCTACCCCAAGCCAGGGATCCCAGCCACCACATGGGCAGGACAGCCAGGTTGGAGCCAGGAGATCTGCCTCTACCCTGGCCTTCTTTTGGGATACCAACTAAGCCTTGAAGGCCTTGTTTGTATTTTACTGCCCAGCTCAGAGGCCACACTTAGTACTTAGGAGTTAACTCATGAGAAGCCCTCCCCATAGCAGTACACATGAATGTGGGGGAAAGGTGTATGTATGCATGTGTGGATCCACAGCATCATGTAACCTAAGGCTGTGTGCTCTCTCTGTCCTCTAAGGATCAAGACAAGACCAGACCTCTGTCCACCCTGGCTAACTTGGCCATCATCATCACAGACATCCAGGACATGGATCCCATCTTTATCAACCTGCCATACAGCACCAATATCTACGAGCATTCTCCTCCGGTGAGACTCTTGGGCCCTGGGGAAGGATGCCCTGCCCCCACTCCCATGATGGCAGAGGCAACCCCATGCAGTGCTGCACACCTGCCCTTCATCATCTCCAGAGGACTCTGAGTGGCAAGAAACCAAGCCTGGCTAGGGCATGTTAGAGGGACTGATGGTAGTGCCCATAGCAACTACAATCGGTGCTGGAGGTTAGATCTGGATGCAGGCTCTGACAAGCATCCACAGGGTCAACCATACTCTTGTGCCTTTATTGGCACCAATCACAATTACGTAGTTAGCCATCTTGCCATCTACCTTCTCAGTCTTTGAGTTTTCCAAGTTCACTGTTTGGCAAGGGAGAACTCTTGATTTTGTGCCATTTCACAAGTTATTAGATGCCTGATAACAGCCAGCCTGTTAATTGGCTCCTCTGGAGCCATGTGTCCACCTCAATCAGCTGTGACTAGAAGAGAGGGTCTTAGTAAACAAAACAACATTACCCACTCTTTGGCCTGACTGTCAAGGACAGGCATCCCCGGTCTGGTAGCTTTCGAGGAATGGCTATTGTAACCTGGTGAATGAGAGCAGGGTACTACCCCCTCCAGACAGACACAACCCACAAACATACAGCTAGGGAAACAGCATTTGTAGAAAGAAAAGTGTGCATCTTCTTTTGAAGGGACTTAGGTATGTTCAGAGCAAAGACTCAGTCTGAAAACAAAGTGGGGTGCCTACCTGAGGCTAGAGATATTCAGGGTCCCAGCTGCCATCTGCACAGCTCACAGCATTGAGCTAATCGAGAGGTGTGCTTTCCTCTGCTGGGTGCAGACTATGAGCCGAGGCCAGCAGGGATGGGGAAGCCGCCCCTCATTGAACACCATGGTGGCTCTGACTTGGGCATCCTTGACTCCTGGGGTGGAGCCTGCATTTGGCCACTTCCTTCTGGGGCCAGCTATAGAATGAAGTATCTCACAAGCAAGATGCTTCTATCCTCTGCCCCAGGTATGTGAAGCTGCTTTAAGAATAGAGGAGGGAAACCAGGTGCCGGTGGCTCACGCCTGTAATCCTAGCTACTCAGGAGGCTGAGATCTGAGGATCGAGGTTCAAAGCCAGCCTGGGCAGGAAACTCCATGAAACTCTTATCTCCAGTAAACCACCAGAACACCGGAAGTGGTGCTATAGCTCAAGTGGTAGAGTACTAGCCTTGAGCTGAAGAGCTGAGGGACAGCGCTCAAGCCCAGAGTTCAAGGCCCATGATGGGAAAAGAGAGAGAGAGAGAGAGAGAGAGAGAGAGAGAGAGAGAGAGAGAGAGAGAGAGAATAGAGAAGAGGGGATTAGAGGGAGACTTAAGGCTTCTCTCACCACTGCTGGCCTCTTTCTTAGCATTCTGGGGAAAGTGGAAATCACAGCTTTTCAGTAGAGCTACTCTTCCTCAGCCCACCCCATGGTCCAGCACCAGCCCATACTGCTTCCTTTCTGCCTCCAACCCCAGCTTAGCCAAACTCACATTTCAACTTTGGGTCAGACCTGGCTGTTACTTTCAGGTAAAAAGGGGCCTGCCTTCTGTCCCTGGCTCCTGAACTTATCCCTCTGGGCTTTTAGGGCTCTTGGGCAACTCACCCAGCCTCTCCTATTCTGCTTACCTAGACATGTGGCCCAGCAGAGGGACAGGAATGCCATGGTGGGCTACTCAAGAAGCACCTAGGGAATGGCTCAATGTTGAACCAAACATGTGGCCTGGTCAGACCAGCATTTTTACCATCCCGCCACCGGTACCACCCAGGCACTTGCTGTGGTATCAACCCAGAGTCCACCTGTCCATCACTGAGTTCCCAGATCACTTACCACCTTTCTTACTATAACTTTCCTGATTTTTTTCCCCTTGGGTGCCAGAGATAAATGTCCTGCTTCCTCCACTCCTGTACAACTGACCTCTGTGATACATAATTTACCACTTAATTACACTCACCTGTACTGTTCATGTAAGCCCTGGATCACCTTGAACCCTTGTCTCTGGAACTCCTGACCACTTCCTCACTGGGAAAATGGGGCTAATGATGTCTAAGGCAGGGCCTCCCTCATCTCAGGGTCTTCAAGGTTAGGAATAAGCATGCAAATCATCGGTCCAGTGCTAGTCTCTGGCAGACATCAAACCACAGTGGCTCCTAACAGGGTCTTTGCCTCATTATAAGTATATTTGTTTTGGACTGGGCAGCAGCAGCTTCCTATCAGTGTGAGACAGTGCTGGACTGTGTGTTTGGTGTGAGCTTTCTCTGAGACCCTGCAGCATGTCTTTTTCTATCCCCCTTCCATCATAGCAGGTCAACATTACCTTAAACTATCATTAGATTTTTTCAGATCATTTCAGATCTGTAGATGTCTTGAAGTATCTCTCATTCATTCCATGCTTCCTTCTCATCCTCATTCATCATTCATTCATTAGGCTCCCTGTGTATGCAAGGGCCTTGGTACTAAGCCATACCCTCTTCCTTCTGATTCCATGGAACATACCAGATGCTCACCCACCTTAGACCTGCTCCTTACCCTGTATCCTAGCATCTGTTTCAATTCTCTTTGACTTTGTTTGCATCTTTGATGCAGTCATTCCTTGGCCAGGAACTGAGCTGAGACATACCACTGTCTGTTCAGCCACCCCAGGCTGGAGGATCCAGGCACCCTCCATTCCAGGCCTAGCTTTGCTGCTCCAAGGGGTCCTCCATCCAGCCCCTTCCCCTCTCTCCCTGCTCTCCCTCTTTATCTGTCGCTCCCAGCATGTATGTCTCCACTATCAGTGTTATCAGGCTAGCCTGCCTCATCTAAAGTGTATATATTACCTAATAAAATCCTTCTTATTTGGGATTATTGCATCAAATTTTAATTTCCTCACTCGAGCAACAGCATGTCGGCCTGCCCGTCAGTGAAGGGCCGATAGAAGGGGAAAGAGCGGATAAACTGCACAAATTACTGCCAGCCGATGCCTATCAGCCCTTTGACTGGAATTGACTGGAATTAAGGACTGAGAAATAGGATTTTCTGCCTCAGAATCGGCTGTGGCAGCTCTTGTCGGAAGTCCCTGTCACCCCTGCTGGCCAGCCCCCTCCACCCAGGTGCCTCCCACTTCCCAAGAAAACTACACATCACCGTTCAAAGTTCTTAATCCTTTTTTTTTTTTTAATTTTATTTTATTTTATTTGAGAACATACTGTACAGAGGGGTTACAATTACATGGGTAGGATAATGCATACATTTCTTACCAAGCATTGCAGCCTCCTCCTTTGTTTACCCTTCACCTCCCTTCCCAGCCTCCCCCCTCCCCCCCACCCAATCATACCCCCCCACACACTGACATTGTAAAGCTGGTTTTGACATGACATTTTGTACTTCTCATTGTTGCAACAGGTCCACCTGAATCCTTAAACGACTTGTTTGTCCCCATCTCCTCCACATGTTATACTGACATCAAATATAGTGAAAGCGGGGGTTACACTGTGGGGGAGGGACATACAAAGCAACAAAGAAATAATCTTATAAATGCGTTAGAAACACATGCATGAAAGAAACAAAAACATTAAAATACATATTTAAGGGTTCGTTTTCCTAACATCACATTATCTGACCTTTTCCGCTTGACTCATACCTATACTAGATATTGCAAATAAGGGAAACCATGGAGCCTATGTTTCTTTGGGCCTGGCTTACTTCACTTAATATAATTTTTTCCAAGCCTTTCCATTTCCTAACCAATGGGGAAATGTCATTCTTTCTGATGGAGGCATAGAATTCCATTGTGTATATATACCACATTTTCTTGATCCATTCGTCTACTGAGGGGCATCTGGGTTGGTTCCATATCTTAGCTATGGTAAATAATGCTGCAATAAACATAGTTGTGCTGGTAGCTTTAGTGTGGTCTTTTTTGTAAACATTAGGGTAAATGCCCAAAAGTGGGATTGCTGGGTCATAGGGGAGTTCTATGTGAAGTCTTTTGAGGAACCTCCATACTGCTTTCCAAAGTGGTTGAACAAGTTTACATTCCCACCAACAATGAAGTAAGGTTCCTTTCTGTCCACATCCCCTCCAGCATCTGTTGTTGTTAGAGTTCTTGATTTTTGCTGTTCTAACTGGAGTGAGGTGATATCTCAATGTTGTTTTGATTTGCATTTCTTTTATGGCTAGGGATGTTGAACATTTCTTCATGTGTCTATTGGCCATCCTTCTTTCTTCTTCAGAGAAGCTTCTCTTTAAGTCTTTCGCCCACTTATTTATTGGGCAGTTGTTTCTTTGAGGATTTGTTGTTGGGTGGTTTAATTTTTTGAGTTCCAAGTATATTTTAGATATGAGACCCTTGTCCGTTGTATGGCTAGTAAAGATCTTCTCCCAATCCGTGGGCTTTCTATTGATCTTGCTAGCTATGTCATTTGCCCTGCAGAAGCTCTGCAACCTTATGCAATCCCATTTGTCCAACCTTTCTTTGATTTGTTGTGTTTCCGGGTCTCTATTCAGAAAATTTCGGCCTGAGCCAAGGAGACCTATGGAAATGCGGGGTGCGGGGGGGGGGGGGGCGGTCAGGGTATCCCAGATGAGCTGGCGAGGAAGGAGCTTGGCATGGTCCCTAAGGATGAGCACGGCCCAGCCTAGCCCCTGTTACAGCCATTCTGTTGCTGAGGGCTTCCTTGGAAGGTCGCACACTACAGAAAGGATAAATATGGTCTTTGTAGCGCTAGAGTTTGACCTCAGGGCTTTGTACTCACTAGGCAGGCACTCTACTACTTGAGCCATGCCTCCAGCTGCTTTTCCAGGGGTCTAGCTTTATACGTGGAAAAGCCTGGGCTTCAGTCCTCCTACTTGTGTTCCCTTTTGTTATTGGGGTTGATAGATGTGTACTGGTGCACCCAGCCATAAGTTGAGATAGAGTCTCTTGAACTTTAATGACTAGGTTGGCCTCAAACCACTATTCTCTAATCTCTACCTCCCAAATATATAGGCTTATAGGTTTGACCACACTTTGGGACCTTCTAGAAAGAAAAATCCCAACTCTGCTGGGCATGGCTGTATACATCTGTCATCCCAGGTACTTAAAAAATGGAGGCAGGTGAATGGCGCTCAGCTCAAAGCAAGCTCAAGCAAAATTAGTGAGACTTGATCTCAAAAAATGAAAATGAAGGGGCTCCAGTACTGCTCAGCAGTACAGCATTTGCCTACCACATCCATGGCCCTGGGTTCTATCCCCAGCACCATGGACAGAGGGAAGGAGAGCCGGAAGGAGGTATGAAGAGATGAATGGACTATTATTTTTTTAATTTTTTATTGTTATTATAAAGCTGATCTACAAAGGGGTTACATAAGTCAGGTAATGAGTACATTTCTTTGTCACCCCTTCCTTTGCTCTCTCCAAGTTTGGGGAGGGACCACTATTATGCCTATTTTACAGATAAGAAAACAAGGCAGCCAGAGTTTAAAAGAGTATTCAAATGCAGGCACTCTGGCACCAGACTCAAACCCTTCACCATTTTCCTGGGTTCCTTCTCTCCTTACAAGGAGTTAGAACCTTTCACCTGCATACCGGATACCTGTCTGGGGAAAGCCTTATATTCTTGGAGGCCTCTTCTTCCCCCCACCCCATGGTTCCTATGAGGGAAGAAGGCCCTTCTCAAGTTGGGCCTGTCTCCCCACTGTGCTACCTCCCCACCCCTCCCTCCTGGCCAAGCCCCACTAGCTTCTCTCCCTGAGGAGCTACTAGGTGTACCCTTCCCCCATAGAGGCCTGGCTCTGGGTCAGGCAAGGCTGCACTCTCTCATTCCTTCATCTTTGGAAATAAGTTGCAATATATTGAAAATATAATCACTGAGACTGGGAAACAAGAGCCGTGGGCTCCCGGGAGCCCCCATGCCTCCCTGCTAATTCCTTCTCATAACATTTCCAGTCTTTGTGTCTGCACTTGTATTAAAAGCTCAGGGTTTTATTAAAAGTGGATTTATTTACCCAAAAAGAGATGAAACCCCAAACCTTGTCAGGAGTCTGGCACAGCAGAATCTCGGGTGCCACTCCTGCTGGGATGTGGGCTGCCTGCCCTCCTGGCAGGAAGACTCTGGCCACTCAGGCAAGACTGCCTGTTGGAGAGATGCCCTAGGCCTCTGAAGGTGAGGGCCCATCAAGTTCTCAAAGGCCTGGACTTACTGCCTCACTCTGTGCCCTAAGGCTCACTGTCCAAGGCCCCGCCCTGCCTGGCCTGCCCTGGAATGGACACAGGCATGCAGTGACCCCTTGTTTAGTGACTGCACAGGAGTTCCACTGGGCTCTGGACCTTATTAACTTGGCAGACTTGTTTCTACCTCAGTGCTCCAGGGGCAGCCCTGGGATCCACATGCAGGACACATATGGTACCCTGGCCCTGGCAGGGCCCCAGATGGATCTGTCTCTGTGTCCCGCATCATGATGCCTAGAGTCTTGGGCCACAGTTGTTTGCCCTCAGGATCTCCTGCTGGGGACAGACTCAGGCCCCTCCTCTGAAGAATAAGCCCAAGATGGACAGGTCTTTTCAAATAAGGACATTAGTAACCCTTGGAGCCTAATGTTCTGTTTCCAGGACCCTGGGGCAGGCTCTGTGAAGGAAGTTCTGGCTCCAAGTGACAGAACCCTGGAGAGCAGGCAGAGGGTCTCTACCACATGGCTGCTACAGCCTACTGTAGTTCTGTCTCACAGCCCTCTCCCAGTTCAACAGGACTTGAATGCCAGGAAGGACTTAGAATCGTGCCTGGCATGGAGCAGTGCTGTTCATAAATGTCATTCTCTATGTTCTAGCAAGTCCTCTAACAGAGGCCTGCTGCCTGATGGGCAGGAAGACCTTGGAGCCAAAGTGCACAGTGCGAAGCCTGGCCTCACCCTCAGGCCTTGCTGCAGGACCTTGAAACCTACTTAACTAGTGGACTTTGTGACCTTCTCTACAAAATGGAACCATGTCCTGGGGCAGTGGTGACAGTGGGATGAGCGAGTCTGAGAACAGTCTGTTGGAGCACAGGGCAGGAGGGCAGGCAAGCCCAAGGCAGTCCCATCTCTCTGCCCTGCTGGTGCCTCTGGGTCCACTCTAGGACCTACTAGATTTATGATATCTTTCTATGGCTTAATGAGGGCTGTTTTCCCCCAGAGGATGCAGGTGGAAGTCCTACCCCAGGGAAGGAGGAAAGAAGGGGCTAGACCTGCTGGCTGCAAGGCCTCCACTCTGTGCTGTGTCCAGCAGACATTTCCACTTTTCCTCAGCATGGGGCAATTCTAGCTCTGCACCCCTGGCCAGACGATATGGAAGGGCAGCAGAGGGGCAAGAGGGCAGATCCTGTAGGATTCCAGCTGATTCCCCAGGAGGAGCGGGAGGAGGGCTATGACCTGAATGTCAAGGAGCAGACTCCTCTGCAGGGAGAGTGATTAAACTGGGGGAGGGGAGGAGGAAGCGCTTGGATGAGAGGAGGCAGGGAGGCTGACAAATTGTGCCCAGATGAGAGGTTCTCAAGGCCACAGGAGCTATTCATTAAATATGCAAGTGGCAGGATAGCTATTCCCATTCCCCAGGGTATAGAGTCAGGGCCTGTCTGCTGTCTATCACCCCAGAGAAACTGCTGCCTGGCCACAGGGTAGACAGGGGCAGCTGACAGCAGCAAGGTGGAGGTGAACCTGGGCAAAGGGTGACTCAGGGAATAGAGCTGATGACAATGTCCATTCTCTTCAATCAATTAGCCACTCCAGCAATTGATACTTGAATGAGTTCTTCTTCTTCCTAGTCCAGCTTATGCTGTCAAGCCCTTGCCTGTGCAATGCCTTCTCTGTGGAGGAACTTCTTTTTCCTTCTCTCTCCCCAGCAAACTCCTACTCATTCCATACAACCCACCCTACATGCCCCCATCTCTATACTCCTTTACCAGTTCCTCCTTTGCCAGTAGACATCTGCACTTTTTTGTACATTTTCCCATCTGAGCACTCTGAATGTGCACAGCAGCTGTGTGTGCCAGAGTCCTTGACTCCTCAATCCTGGGAGTGCAGCCCCCCAGCTCCTCATCCTGGTCAGCCCAGCTCCTACCCTCCACCCCTTCTTCTCTGTCAGGAGTGCAGGAAAAGGAGAAACCCACATTGGCAGACATTGGCAAGCACAGCACCAGTAGCTGTGTGGAATGAGGTGTGTAGGGCCCCAGTGCCTCTGGGGTTATCCCTACAGATGCTTGCTTTCAGACTTACCCACAGAATAATTAACCCATCATGTTTTCATCTATTTGTATCCTGCTGAAAACAACGTCCGCTCTTAATCATAATAAAGGTGGGTCAAATTGAGGCCAGAGAGGTTCAGCATTCTTCCTGAAGCCACACAGCAATCAATCTGTTGGGTGGCTCTGACAGAGGCCAAACCTCTTGCTTCTGTGCTGGCTTTCCTGTAGACGGCTCATGGGAAAGAAGCCTATGGGGGAAGGGCATGGGTGGCGATGGCATTAGCAAGGTTGAGACATACACACACACACAACACACACACACACACACACACACACACACACACACACACACACACACACACACACGCCCCTGGGGTGTCTGTCCCAGGGTCTTGGGGAGTCCCTGCTTCAGGATGGGAAGGGAACCTACAGGGGAGGGGACAGGACAGCTATGAAGAAAGACAGCAACCTGGGGCCAGACAACTGACCTCAATCCCTGATTTCTCCACTCAGGGCACAACGGTACGAGTGATCACTGCTGTTGATCAGGATAAAGGCCGGCCCAGGGGGATTGGCTACACCATCATTTCAGGTAAGGAGAAGGCTTTGCTCTCCCCTGCCTGCCCACCCCAGAGCACTGTTGGGGTCTCGGGCTCTAAGAGCCTATAAAGAGTCTGTGTACACAAGGAACCACGTATGGGATCTGCCTCAGTGGCATGTTGTACACCAACATGCCTGGAAGGAGACTAAGTGGCAAAGAAGTGGCTAAGAAGATGGGTGCTTGGAAAGCCAGCAGTAGCCACCACAGTGTGTGACTGTTCCAGGCACAGCGAGGGGGCAGAGATGTCTAAGGTCTGAGCATTTGACACTTGGGGCACTGATCTGACATGGGTGACCCCCCATGCAACCTCCTTCCATGCTCTGGGCTTTCTGCTCTTACTTGATGAAAAGCTGGTAATTTTGCCATCATTTTAGAACAAAAAGATCTGTCACTTGAGCTGGTTTCAGACTCTTCCCATATTTCCCAGCATCAGGAACTAATGTCTCATCTGGAGTGCTGCAGGGGGCAGCCCTCAGTTCCTCCTTACTCAAGTCCCTGGAGGAACAAAATAGTGACTGGCTGCAGAGATAGCTCTGGGTTAGGGGATACCCAACCTATGTCACCCAAATATTGGCAAAAAGGGACTGGGAACTGGTGGCTCATGCCTATAATCCTAGCTACTTAGGAGGCTGAGACCTGAGGATTGTGGTTAGAAGCTAGCCTGGGCAGGAAAGTCTATGAGACTCTTATCTCCACCTACCAGAAAACAGTAAGTGGAGCTGTAACTCAAAGTGGTAGAGTGCTAGCCTTGAGCAAAAGACCTCAGGGCTATCCAGGCCATGAGTTCAAGCCCTTCAACCAACCAAAAAAAAATTGACAAATGGCAGCTCAGTGTGGCTGCCAGGAAGAGACATTCATATACACACTACAGCTATGCCCCCTGCCTCATCCACACCCTGCATAAGGCCTCTGCTTGATACATTAGGAATACTAGATGGTTGGCAAGGAGGTCAGGTACCACCCAGTGTGTACCCAGTGCCCCACCACTGGCATTACCCACCCTGGAATAGGAAAGACATGGTTGGAGCATTTTCTAAGAGCTCAAAAGACAACAAGGTGTAGAAATCAAGAAAGGTAGGGGAGGGACTGCCCAGAGCCAGATTGTCCTGGCTAGGTCTCTGTGCCTCAGTTTGCCCTAAAATGAGAACAGTGAGTTCTTACCTCGGGTGATTTAAGAGTCAGATGACATAATGTATGTAAAGAGTTTAGTTTATGTGTAAAACCTACTTGATAAGTGCTACCTCTTGTTACTGCTGGCTAATCATTCTGGGGAAAGCTAGAGGGTAGCTATGGGAGGGAACATGCTATTAACACCAAGGGGATCAGAGGACACTTGGTGTCATAGGCCCCCTGTGATCTGTGGCTGTTTACATGACTGTCAGTTTCTTCTTAGACCACAGTACCCCAAGACCCAGTTCAGATACAACCGGGGCCAGGTGGTAGATAGCAGAAGCGCAGGCTTAGGCATCTGTACCCACCCCACTTTTTCCTCATCCTGTGTCCCACCGCATGATAGAGTACAGTAAACCCTAAGTGTAGCTCTGGAGCAAATGAGTGTACTCTGGGATGGAAAACTTTCCAGCTCCAGCTTAACCAAGAATCCCTGGAAAGATGCCATTCTTTTGGAAGAGAGGGTCCCTCGGAGGACTGAGGGCTTCTGTAGGTGTTAGGGGGCGGGTCCTGGTGCTGAGTCCTTTTATAGCTTCTGCAAATCAGGAAGCCGAGTGTCTCCCAGGGACAGGAGTTTGTGCTGGGAACCTAGGAGCTTCTGAGAGCACTATAGGCAATGGCCGTGGGGGCTGGGATCAGGGCTAGCATGCAGTGGACCCTGGCCTAGGTGCAGAAGGGGCTTCGTCTGCCATCACTACCTCAGAGATGGCTTAGATCGGGGGAGGGAGCTGAAACTTCCTTGGTGATGCCAGAATCCTTTCTTCTAGGACACTAGCCATTCCAGGTTTATGCTGGGTGCCAGGCTGCCAAGCCTAGACCCTTCAACTCTCTCTGGTCTCCAACCAGTCTCCTTTATTCCATCCCAGCCTTGGTACAGGGGGCTGGAGGGCTGGACTGGCAAGCCTTTGGTGTCTGGGCTTTGTTCTGGAACTTAGAGTTGGGGACTTGGTTCCCAAGTGCTAACAAAAGAAAAAAAGAAAGAAAAGAAAAAGAGACCCAGCATGTGAAACCATGGAGAAGAAATGTACAAAAGCTAGGGCAGGAGGCAGAAATTTCTAGAAGGCTGGAACACTTTTTATTGCTCTATAGGAGTCCCACTGCCAGTACAGATGTGCCTTGAGGGCTTTTAAGAAAGATGACAAATGGGTTTCCCTCTCAAACTCCAACTTGATAGATTGGTCATGGCTAGCTGAAGAGGATCATGAAGCCAGGAAGGTTCAATGGGATGAATGAGTGTGGAATTCAATTGGTAGGTCTGCTGTGGATACAGGAAGTGGGGTGGGGGTCGGAGCTCAGCACCTGTGGCTAATGTCTGGTATACTGATCACATCCTTGGACTGCACCCTTGATTGTAATGTTTTTCAGACAGTGAGCAGCTTGGGATAGGCCATTCTGTTTCTTCCCTGCCCAGCTGGACTGACCCTATTCCTGTCTGAACTGGTCGCTTGAAGCAGGCACAAGGGCATCTTCACAGCTAACTGCTACAAGCAACAACTCTGTGTTCATTGGGAGGCTACCCCAGTCCCAGGGCTTAGGACTCATTTTCTATTGAAAGAAAAGACTGGGGACTTGGGTGTTTGGGGCTGAGGACAAGTGAGGGTCTCGAGGGTCACTGATGTGGTGACCTAAGTCTCTCGCAACTCAGCAGCCTGGGTTGGTAGTGGCTCCACCTACATGTGGGCGAGGCGCGCCTGCCCCATGCAGGTGAACACTGCCTGAGCCCACCAGTGATCCATGGCCTGAGATTACCCTGCCCAGCTCCCCGAAGCCCAGTCCCCTCCAGGATGTTTATCAGCTCTGCAGCGTGGGGATTTATATCTGTGCACCAGTGCTTTCCCATTACTAATGGCTTCTCTGTTTTGCCAAGAACAAAGAGGCCTTCAGCAGTAAGTTATGGCTCCATTGCCATCAATTTGTTCTCAGCCCCTCGTGGCCAAGCTGAGACTGGAGAATGACAAGGTTCTTTTCCATAGAGGACTTGGCATGGCCCCCATCCACTTGCTCAGACTGGGCTGGTCCTGCCTCACACCAAGGGGCATTGCTGCTTTCAAGACCCAGCAGCTCCTGTCCCATCACTGGTCCAGCTGCAGTGTGAGCGGACAGAAAGTCCTGTTTCAATGGGCAGCTGTGTACCCCATATGGAGCATTGGAGCTGGAGTCCAAAGTTGTGAATTTGAGGTCCCTCTTTGCTACTGCTAACAATGTGTCTAAGTAAGATGTTTGATGTCTTTAACCACCATGAGCCTCATCTTTAGAGTGGGCTTCAGAATCACCATGTGGGCCAGATGCTGCTTGCTGAGGCTCAAAAAGGACATCAAACAAAAGATTAGTGGTTGTTAAGGAAAAATGAGGACCCAGGGGTACTTGGTACTCTTGGTTCATTTCCTCCTCAACTGTCTGAGTGTTGAGTACAAGCTCCAGGCCTCTATCCATGGTGGTGGCCTTCAGTTGTTCTGGCCTGTATGGCTGCCACCCCCATGGCTCCTGATGACTTGACATGTGCTTACCCTGAATGACAGGTGCTGTTACTATCACCTCCAGAATTTTGAAGGCATACAATACAATGAGAATTGTAAGCTGTATCATTAGTAATGTTTCATTGAGGACTGGGGTATAGCTCAGTGACAGGGCAGGTGCTTGGCATAAGAAAGGCTCTTAGTTCAAATCTGTACACCACCAAAAAAAAAGACATTTTATACTGATGACATACAGCAATGGTGATATTGTTTCCAGTTTTCTTTACAGCTTTACTTTTTGTGGCCACTACAAAGGTTTTCAATGGCATATGTGTTGGTTCTGTTTATGGGCACCCTGTTCTATCCTGAAGCTCCTGGTCTCAACTTCCACCACTGGCTAGCTATTAGCTCATCTGTAAGATGGAGATGACTGCTACTGTCATCTAGCGCAGTGGGGGTGCTGTGAGGATCAAGCAAGCCAAGTGAGCAATCAGAAGAGTCCAAGTTCTAGAGCAAGCTCTTCCTGTCCATCACAGCAGGTGAAGGGCTTCTCTGGACCAGTAACAGTACACTGAGGTCCTGAGGTGGTGGGGACTAGGCACCATCTCTGTCTCAGGAACCTTCAGTTTGGTTGGAGAGGTAGACCCCTAAATGCACCAGAATGCTGAGAAGAGATAACTAATGCGGTGAGTGGTGTCAGCAGTAGAGGGAGGAGGCTGGGCTGTTCTTGGCCTGAAATGCATGTTTAGAAGCCTCTTGGGCAGATGTTGACATGACTGACAACTCCTGAGGGGTCCCTTCAACTATTATCTCTACTTTCCCTCACTTGTGTTTGAAAATATCCACAGTAGTATGTGAGAAGGAATCCACGGGCTGGCACTGACTGGCCCAGCAATGTGGGGAGGGGGACCTTGCCAAGGTCAGATCTGTTGAAGCTGGGCACTGATGATGTACCTTAGTAAGAAGCATGATGGGCAAGCACAGGCCAGTGAGGCCCATGTGCGCACCAAGATCTAAGGGGGTGGGGGCAACATATTCATCACAGGCAGTGATTCAGTGTGGATGGGCACAAAGCATGGGGCATGGTGGAGAGATGAGGTCCCAGAAGGGGAAGTATCATCTGTGCATGCAACATGGGAAGTGCTTCCTTGGGGAGAGGCATTGAGTAGCTAAACCTGAGAGCTCAACAGGGCAGAGATATATCTGGGTGTATGCTTGAGGAGAGCTCAAATTAAGGACCAGAATGGAGCCAGTGGTTTGTGGGGGATAGCAGGCCCAAAGCGGGGATGTAGTAGCATCCCACAGAGACAGTGATGGAAGCCTCCATTGACTGTAATGCAAAGGAGTGAGGCAGAGCATCAGGAG